ATATTGTTGTTTTTGTTACAGATTGAAGATAAATTTATTATTATTGAATTTTATTTAATATTCATTTATGTTATATCAGATTTTACTATCGACATTTGATTTTGTCTCTTCTAGGAACGTGCATTGTTTACAAAAAGATTTTTAGCCTGGAAAGTCTTCCACTTTTACTAACTAACACAAATTTACAAAACTCATTTACAAAAATTTATTTTATTAGTACTACATTAGGACTTACAATTAAGATCTAAGTTTATACAATACTTTTTTTATTATATCATAATTTATAAATATATTATTTATTATAATTTGCATATATTTTTTCTACAATCGGTGAAAAAATTAATTTAAATAATCTGCCTAAATAAAAATATTAGAACATTTTCTTTATTATAACTTTATTCTCATTATACTCTGAGAAAATTAATAATTTTGTTTCCAAATTTTTTTTAAAAAAAGTCTATAGTCTTAGTTTTGTAAATCATTTATTAATTAATTTTCCCTATATTTCTGAGGACTGTTTGGACTTTTATAATATAATTTATATAATATAATTTTCATTTAACGCCTGATAGGTTTACCATAAAATCATACAACACACCTGGCAGGTAGTATTGTTATAACCGCCAGGTGTTTTTTATGGTTCTGGCATTTGTAGGTAGATGTCAGACAAAATATTTTTAGTCATTCTTAAAACCTGATTTAACCAGTATTACAACTACTATACCTATCTAATTAAGATAGAAGAAATTGGAACGCCATCTCCGAAACCTTGTTGAAATAAATATTAACTAGTGGGGCGCATGGCATCGCGCCTTAAGGCAAATTGCTGGAACTTTCCGTACCAATTTTTTTTTTAAGATTAAAATTTTGAACAAAAAATTACTCTGAAAAATTAGATTTTTGAGAAACTTTAAATTTTTGACAAAAATTTACTTTTTTTTGAAAAAAGACTTTTTGAAAAAAAGTGTATTTTTAAATATTTTGGAAATTCTGAACTTTTTTTTAAACAATCGTACTGCTTTAATTGCATAGAAACGAAATATCGAAACGCGTAAGCGCCGCGCCGCCGTCTAACGGATAAGCATTGGTACGGAACCCATAGGAATGTAAACAAAATTTATACTTATTGTTAAAATCTCTATAAAATATCTGATAATTGATCTATCTGATTAATCTAATGATCATTTTTGACCGCCAGATGGCATTTTTTTTTACTTTTTTACTAGATCTCCAAAACCGCTAAACCTGCCTTTATGAAAATTTGATCAGTTCTTCATCTTGTTAATACAAGTAAAATGTTTTTTGAATTATTCAAATCGAACGCTCCGTTCTTTTGAAAACTGAGTTACCGTTTTTGGCACTTTTTGCCGCATATCTTCGGAACGACTAGACCTGCCTTCGCCAAAAACTAATCAGCACGTCTCCTTATCAATACGAATCGAATGATTTTTGAATTATTCAAATCGCTTCATCCGTGTTCCCGAAATCGTCGACGAAAATTTGTATCCGCACACACGCACACACATACACACACACATACATCCATTTTTTCTAAGGTATGCCAAAATATTCAGAAACCTTTGAAACGTAAAGATATATAAAAATTTTCATTTTCGATTTTTTTGCGATTGCAATAACTTGCCCTACGAGAAGTTAAAAATTTAACAATATAGAGTGTATATGCAAAAAATATGTTAAGAAATTGTTCTGTATTGTTATCAAATTAATTTACAAAAAATAAACAAAAAAATAAATTATATATGATGAACAAGCGCCTTGAATGCTAAGTTTATATTAGTTGGTTATGGTTCAGATGCACATTGAAGAAAAAGTAATGTAAATTTAATGAAAAATGTATACGTTTGTTCTAATTATGCATCTCACATTTACCAAAATATCAAAATCAGATGGTTTTACTCAATTTAAATATATATTAACCCAGTTATTATTATAATAATTCTCAAACTTTTATTAAATGCACAAGATATAGGACTAAAATCCTTTCGGTGATAAATGTTGAATAATTAGAAATAAAAGTGTTTGCAAATAGTGCAATTCTATTATAATTAATTAATTAGTTAATTAATTAATTTATGAATTGATTATAAATTATTTAAGTAATTTATTTATTTTAAAGTTGCTTTATAAGATATGTTAAAAATATAATAATAAATGAATACTACTTCTGACTACTTCAAATTAAAAATTAAACGCGCCTGAATTAGTTTCTTCACAATACGTTATATATACAACGTATTGTATATATTTTAGGCTAATCCAACAAATGTTAAAAAATTTGTGTATTTTGTCACAATTGTGTGTTTTGAAATTATCTGGACGACAAAAGCAGTAGATATATTATCACCAAATAGAGGTACATGACAACTTTTCTTCCATGCAAAAAACAATATCATTCTAGGACACAAATAAAATTTTTTTGTTTTCCAAATCCAATCGTTCTTTGAATTTGATTAAAAAACAAACCATTTAGAAAACTTTTAAACATCCTGCAGAATTATAGATATATAACATATGTAGGCTAAATTTCTATTAATTTGCTTGAATATGTGTGAGATCAAGATATGCAAAACATCAATTTCATTACTACTGGAAATCAGTAAAATAATAAACATCCTTTAGAACCATATATAAAATTTGTTGTTTAATATTTATTGTTTTGATCATATGTCAATGGAATTTTTAATTTAACAAAATAGATAAGAAACCAATGGCTTTATTAAGTAAATTAATAAACATCCCGCAAAGCTATTTTTAATATTTGCTTTTTAATCTGCGAAATCTTTATTTCTATAAACAATAATTTTTAATTATAACAAGATAAACAAAAAATCAATTTTATTATGACTGGAATTCATTAAACTATTAGATTATTATATATAGTACATCCTGCAGAATCGTAATTAAAATTGTTGTTTAATTTCTAATATTTTAATCAATCAAGACAAAATATTTTAATCAATCAAGACAAAATAGAAAAAAACAATTTTATTAGCACTTGATTTAGTAAAGTATAAATATATATATATGTATATATATATATTGTATATATATATATATATTGTTGTTTAATTATTGGTTTGCACAAATATCTGTTAAATCAAACAATTATTATTAATCAATATAAGATAAAAGAATCAATTCACTATCCCTTGGATTCAGTAACATATTGAATATCCTTTTACAATTTTTTTCAGATATGTGTGAATCTCTATCTTAACAATATAGATAAAAAATCAATTTTATAATTAATGGGATTCAGTAACTTATTAAACATCCTGCAGAATCATATACAATAATTGTTGTTTAATTTCTATTATTCGATGCGAATATCTGTGGAATCTTTATTTTCTTAAACAAATAATTTTGATCATAACAAAATACGCAAGAAATCATTTTTTCTGTCACACAGATTCATTATACATCCTGCAAATGATGTTTTTGATTTTGTTCAAAAATTGGCGAAATCTTTATTATTTCATACGAGCATTTTTGATTATCTAAAAACTATAAAGGTGGCATTAAGCCTTAAAGCAATTTGCATGAATTTGCATGAATAATTGACTTAATTAACCGAAATTAAACTTTAGATACTTAGATAAAATTTTCAACTATTTATTTGGAATATAAAGTTATCGCTATCCATCGATTCTAAACATTCCTATTTCCAATTGATAATCTCTCAAACATATTTATATTTAAATTTTATTATTTATTATTTTAAATTATATTTTATAGTGCACAGACACTAGTGATTGTATGTTCTAAATTAAGTAGCTCATTAATATAAATTTTAATGAATTGATAATGTTTGACTCCAAACATAAAAGCAACTTTTGATACAAATTTTGACCATAATATTTTTTTAAACTTTAATGAATTTTTAACCTTAAACTATTTGTTGTAAGACCGTAACATTTTAGTATGTTATTCAAGACCATGATATCTATTTCCATAAATAAGTTTCATCAAAAAAATTTGTTTCAACAGTTAATTACGAAAAAACAGCTCGACCAATCTCTGTCCAAAACTAATCAGCACGACTCCCATATAATATATTTCGAATAGTATTTGAATTTTTAAAACCGGTTCAAAATTTTTGGTTACAACGTGAATGGAAAATTTTTCACTTTTCTACTTTACAAAAAAACGGCTCAGTCGATTGTATTAAAAATCTAACCGACGCAAGTGTTTATCAAGTTTCATTAAATGGTTTTTACATTTTTAAAATCGACTCAACCTTTTTAGAGAAAACGTCGATGTAAAGTGTAATTTTGACAAATGCCAAAAAAACCATACTAATTTTTGCAAACTTTGACAAATTTTTAAAGTTAAACAAGTTGTCGTAGGTCCGTAATATTTTAGTACGATCTATAAGAGTATGGTATCTACCGCAAAAAAAAATAATAAAAATCGTCGAAACATTTTTTTTAATACTTTATTACAAGAAAACTGCCTGGCCGATCTTTACTAAAAACTAATCAGCACGATTCCCAACCAATATTGTTCGAACGGTTTTTGAATTTTCAAAATTGATTCAGAATTGCGGGCTAAAACGTATATGAAATTTTTTTCACTTTTTTGCTATTTACAAAGAAACGGCTTGGCTGCTCGTCGCGCAAAATTGATAAACGCTAGTCCTCATCGAGATGCATCGAAGAGCTTTTAAATATTTGAAATCGGTCCAGCCGTTTTTTGAGAAAACATCGAATTACAGCAAAAAATCTGTTCACATACACACACTTACACATACATACTTTTTCCAAATTTGGTCCCATTTGATTCAAAATGGCTTGAAACCTCGAGAAAACATAAAATTAGCGAATCGATTTTTTTATGAAAACATAAACTTCTCCTTCGGGAAGTTAAAAAAAATCAATTTTGTTGATTGATTTCATTGATTTAGTATCTTCACCCCCCTCCTTCCCAAATGATCGTCTTTCTTTCATCCAGCCAGCAGAGTCGAGGTGGTATCACGCAAACTTATTTGTATTCAATCCGTGCCGGTGCACGGCCGTGCATTCTGATGTGTTGAATATTTCTGTTTTTGATTTCAATGTAAACAATATTGTTTGTGCTGTTGTGATTTTAGTGATAGACAATGGTTTGTTGAAGATAGAAGGATTTTTGTAAAATTAAAGTGAAAAAATTTGTGGTACGTTATGTGATGGCATAAAACACTGGGATAGAAATATATATCTAGGAGGTTGTTTGCAGGATAATTAATTCCACCCCTAATAAGTATGTATATGTTTATTATGTAGTATCTTTGAATGTATAATGTTTATTTATAATATTATGTACCAAATTATATTAATTGCGGATTACCACCATAATGCGATGGCTGATTAATCAAGCATTTGTTTGGAAAATAACTAATTAACATTCATTTTACAATAGAAGTAGTACTGCTGAAACTTGATACATAGTTTCTAGTCATGTCTACTATAGATATTATTAATGTTCTCAAAATAATCTTTACAAAATATTATACAAGAGCATAATTATTGAATGTCATGACAAGCTCGAGATCATTTTTAATTGTTTACGACATTTCAATCACTTTTTATCTCATATACCACAACTTAATTCGTTTGTTCAAAGGACCCTCTTTCAACCCTCTTTATCCAAATATGTGATAATGCTAATGATCTTGGATATTAATTTTTGAAAACTTTTTCTTCAATCTTCTTGAAACTGTGGAAACAGGCTGAAGGAGTTGAGCGACTATTTAATTTGTATGATATTACAGTTTTAGGAACTGTCGAATACTGGTTAGCTTTTTTACATGCAAATATTTTTCTTACATGCACCATATTTCAATCGATATTTGTCATATCCACCACAATTTAGTCAACTTTACTCATAAGTATTACTTACATACTTTACTTACATTACCAATAAATAGACAATTTTTTTCTTACACAAGGTGCATTTTAATCCATCCTCCTTCTCACATTTACCACTACCCAATATATATTTCTCAAATATACCATTTTTAATCGATATAAGTTAAAACTAGTAGTGTGTATGGCATAGTTCTTTAAGGCAAATTGCTGGAACTTTCCGTACCGTGATTAAAAATCTTGGTACGGAATCCAAAAACATTTACATAAAATGTGTACACAATATTAAAATCTCTATAAAATATCTGATAATTTGATGTACATATGTCCAATAAATATTTATCACCGCCAAACTTATTTTTATTGAGAGTTCATAACCGCTGGATCTGCCTTCCCAAAAATTTATTCAGTTCTTCACCTTATCAATACAAGTAAAATGTTTTTTGAATTATTAAAGTGGACGCTCCCTTCTTTTAAAAGCTGAGTTACCGCTTTTGACACTTTTTGCCGCTTATCTTCGGAACAGTTAGACCTGCCTTCGCTAAAAACTAATCAGCACGTCTCCTTATCAATACGAATCGAATTATTCAAATCGGTTGATTGGTGTTCCCGAAATTGTCGACGAAAATTTGTATGCGTACACACACACATACACACATACACACACACACACAAACATCCATTTTTTCTAAGGTATGCCAAAATTTTCAGAAACCTTTGAAAAGTAAAGATTTATAAAAAGTTTCATTTTCGATTTTTTGGGATTACTAACTTACCCTACGGGAAGATAATAAGTTGATCATATTTTTTCAAGTCAAACCCAAGACGGTAATTTTCAATTATGCTAATCCGGAAGGGGGGGGGGTGAATGCTAAAAAAAATAATATAGTTTCAGAATAACAAATATTATTTAAGAATTCAGTAAAAAACAGAACTTTGGGACGAGTATTTTTTTTAAATCAGAAAAAGTTCATTATTCATTACTAGCTTTATTTTTAGGTCTATATGTTTTTTCAGCTTTCAAACTAATTATAACATTTTATTCAATTTTCTTCATGATTTAAAAATAATTAGCACATTTATTAGCATTATTCCAGGTGTACCAGAAGTTCGTTTTCATAATTTTTATTAATTTTTTAAAAGTAAAATTGAAAATAAAAATTTTAAATTAAGAATTGGAGAGGTTATTTTAACCCGCCATTTTCAAATAGGCATACTAGTTGTACATAACATTTGCAGATATTCGATGGGTAATTTCATTATCAAGAACAAAGAATTTTGATCTATACTTTTCGAAAACCTGGAACATTCCGGGACGAAAGATCTAAATCTGGGACAAATATTGGTTTTAGGAAAACCCGGAACACAAGGTGCAAATCCGGGACTGTCCCGGCCAAACCGGGACGTATGGTCACCTTAGTTAAATGCGTCATAATTTTGTCCATTTTTTCAAATACACTACAACTTTTTTGAATTATCTCATACACATCACATTTCAATCAAATTTTGCCACAGTTGGGAGCATCGATTACTTACGTGATCGCATTTTAAGGATTTTGGGACCTATTTCGAGACCTTGGTGATACATGATCATATTTAAAAAATCACGCATACCTAGAAAATTCGATTTTTTGTAAAATATTGGATTAGATTTTAATTTAATAAATACACGTGTAATCTTACTTGATCCTCCCTCCATCTCTTGAGATAATTTTTGTTTTTTGTAACCTTTTCACGCCCTTTAATAATTAATGAAATTAGTATGTTAATCACTAATTGTATTTACTATCTGTGATATAAAACAATTTGTATCATATTTTGTGTGCATGTATTCTAATAATAAATCTATAGTGTTGTTTACATACTTATTATCACATACGTATTTCTTTTCTGCTTTATGAATGATATGAATTTAATTGAAAACAATTCTCAACTATAAACAAGTGATTATAAATTAATTAAAAAACATTCATTAAGAGTAGAAAATTATGATTTAAAGATATATAAAAAAGTATCTAATGTTTATTGCATTTGATAATGATTAGTTTTTTGGCAAAGGCAGGTCCAGCAGTTACGGAGATAAATAGCAAAGAGTGCAGAAAATAGAAAACGAGTTTTTGAGAGAACGGGGTATCTGATTTGAATGATCTAAAAAACATTCAGTTAGTAATGATTGGAAGAAGTGTATTTGAAAAACTTCCTGCTTGTTTTAACAAAATAAGTAATTCAGGAAAAAACATTTGTTTCAAAATTTTTTTCCAAAAATTTTTTTTTCAAAAAAAAAATTCTTGTGTATCGAAAATAAATCAGATTTTATTTTTAACTCTGACTAAAGTTCTAATATACTTTAAATAAATAATTTCAACTTTGCAATTCAGCTTATATAATTCTTACAAATATTAGACAATGTTACAATATTTATAATAATCTATTTGAAAACATTCAGTATTTCTCGAACATTTCGTTACGGCACGGGAAGTTCCAGCAATTTGCCTTAAGGCACGATGCTATACACCCCACTAATTTGAATTTAAAAGTAAAGAATAACTCGGGATATATTTAGAATCATAGAAATTATATCAGCATATCTTGTTGGCTAAATGCTTCAGGTTAAATATCGAACGTCAAACGGTTTTACACAGAAAACGCAAAATAAAATCGATGTAGCAGTTCTGTCCACAAGAATATTCAGAAAGGGTTTAATTTTAAAATATTTATAATAAATTATAAAATAGTATTGTTAGAACCACAACTTTTCTGTGGTGGTGGTTTTACTCAAAGATTCTAAAACACAGCTGACTACGTCTAATACAAATTTAACCAAAAACGTTGGTTCGAGTTTTTTCACTACTTACAGCATTGTTATTACAAAATACAAAAATTGTTTTTCTTTTGTTAAAGATTAATAGAACAGAAAGTTGCTGTTTTACTCACATTGTGATTTGCTCATCCTGTGTAGTTTATAATTGCAAGATGATATGTATAAAAGATTGTTGAAAGAATAAATCCCAAGAACCGCTACTTGTTAATTTATTTTACATTATAATAGAACAACTTGTTAATATAGTGTTCTAATCAGAAATTTATAATGTTACTGGAGTATTTTTATATATACTTTTAAATCTTACAAATTCAGCGGTATGTACCGATAAATTAAAACTTTTGTAATGCTTGCAAGATTCGTATTAAAGACGTCATTGAAATTAAATTTATTTTCTGAAAAATACGTATTTTCTTATTTTTGCATATATTATTAAAATCTATTAAAGTATAGATATTCCTATGGCATTGGTTAAAAAAACTGTAAACTCCTAAGGTTAAAACTGAAAATTTCCAAGTCTTAAATTTCTTTGATGTAGTTGCACTTATGATTGTAATTGCATGTAATACTTATAGCCGACTTGGTTAATTTGGTACAATAGTGAAACAAAAAAAAAGTATGTGATATTTATGAATGCTTCATAATGCATCTTTAATGCACTAACCTCTGAATCACCATCTCTTAATTATGATCACCTTGCCTCTAAGGGTCAAGTCTTCTGACTCCAGAAACAATAATGTTCGGAGGACAAAATATCGGACACCAAACGGTTTTCGCGCGAAGAAAAGAAAATGCTAGACATTTCTAAAAGCCTCAATTCGGCCGTATCGTATTCTGTGAAAAGTGTTTTGTGTGAGTTATCACTATCAGGTTTTACTGCATAAAATGGTAGAATCGCTTTGCTTCGCTTCTGAGGTCGATCTAACGGTATACCAGCACCATAAAACTCAGGAACCGCTAACTTCTTCAATATTTCATCTCGCGCGTTTTCCTTCTCGAGTCTGTATTCGGATTTTAACCATGAATGTGGTTGTAGAGATCGATTTGAAAAGATGAACTTCATTAGGTTTATTGATCAATAAAATTGCTTATTGCAAGGTAAAGGTCATAAGTTCAAACTAGTGGTGTATGGCATCGTGCTGAAAAAAATCAGTAATCAATAAATATTGATCAATGATTAATAACAATCGTTTTAAACATTTTAAAATGGATATTTATAATCACTATATATTTTATAGTTCATAAAATATACAATGACGACCTTGCCGCTCAAAACACTTAAGAAACTTCACATTATCAATAGGTGCCGAATAAATCCATCTGAGGATATATTTCTTACGATTAGAATAACGAATTTGAAATATTCGCATTTTCAAACTGGTTTGTAAATTTAAAATTCATTCTTGAAGTATAAACTTTGTATATTTTTGAAAATTTTGAAGAAATTTTTTTTCTGAAAATTTTGAAATGAAATTTTGAAACTTTAAAAATTAGCTATCTTGGTACGGAACCCAACAAAATGGTAACAAAATTAGTATTCATTTTTAAAAATTTTATCAAATATCTGATAATTT